TGATGGGAAGTGAAGGTCCTGCTTCTCCTTGCACCTTGAAAACACTCGGCATGTAAGAGCCAACCCTTTTAATATGATTCAACCCGATTGAAAGGATAAAACAGTAACTCTTTTCCTAGTTCACTATTGACTTCCTCAGTGAGGACAATATTTACAAAACACTTTTTTTTTTCTAAGATTTCAAGCAAGAGTTTTTGCAGAAAATATTTTACATCATATTTAGACAAAAGAAAAAAGAAAAAAAAAAGAAAGCATGTACTTCGTGGTTTACCTGGCTAATTGTAGTCAGGAAGTTTTGTTTTACTCCCCAGTTCTGATTGTCAAATATTTTCAATTAATTTTATAGTTAAAATTCCCATAGAGTTACTGAATGAGTTCATATTCAAGAATCATATGAAGAAAAAGGAGTTATGACTTCTTAGATAAACCCATCAGTGACAAAAGTTTCTCAGCTGTGTTCTACAGACAGCAAACTCAATTCCCTTTTGATTTTATACCACACTTTAATTACCAGCACATCTGGGTGCAAGATCAGAATCCAGGTACAAATGGCAGCTGAAATCAGGAGGGAGGCAGATGTCATTCCCATCTACATGAAACATCTTTCACATTGGCAAAGTGGTCAAGGGACTTCAACCCATGTTGCTGTGAAAACATCCTCCTCTCTCTCTGCCTCGCATCATCAGCATCAGGACAGGGACCTGTCGTGCTCACAGCCCAGCCTAGCCTCCCACTCTGACCTGGATGTTTGAAGCACCTTGCTCAGTCTATAGTCTCTTAATGTGTCCCTGTAGCATCCAATTTAACCCACCAAAATAACATGCCTTTGAGCGCACAGGCTAATTTATAACTGCAATTGCCTACAGTATAAGAACTGTGGTATTAAAGCTGTTATAAAGCTGTTTTAATAAAATGAAATGCAACCATTTTCAGAAACAAATCTAGGGCTGGAGGAGGAAGGGAACAGAAAGATCAGAATTAGTATTATCCTTTTCCAATATCTCTTTATTTTATAAAATATTGCACACATGAGTTACATAGGTTGGGACAAGGAGAAATGTACATCTCTGCTTAGGATGTCTATCAAAGCCATCATTCATGAAATGTATAACAAAAAAGCACAGGATAATAGTTACTATATACCCCTGGAGAAACGAGACCAGACAGCTGAGGTTAGTCCACAATGAGTTTGAGAGGCAATTCCTCCAAATCAGATTTGATCATGTTGCAGGCAGTGTCCAATCAATTATCGAATTTCAATTAGATAATAATTCTTATTATCTTATCGAATAATAAGAATTATCTGCTTTTAACATGCATTTTAAATGCAACTGTTACATAGAGTCACAGGAACATGAGAGGATTTCTGTGCTGTTTGGTTGGACAGATTGTCGTAATATTTTATCCAGGATAAAGCTGTATATGCGCTGCAAATGCCCTAGGCAGCACGCTTGCAGAGGGAATGGGTACATCAAACGTGCTGCAGATCCTCCTCTTCTCTTCATGGTTCTCATCCAGTGCCACTGACTGCAAGGGTCCCTCTGCCATCAGCGGTAATGGGAACAACAGCACCAAAACCATTCATTTTTGGTTCATCATGTTTCTCTGCATGAATTATAAATCCAAACTAAAGACTGCAAAATATTTCTGTTTCCAAATAAATTTTTGAGTCAGAAATTTTCCTTTCTCTTCTCTCTCAAAATCCCTCTGTTTACACCCATTCAAAATAATTTGAGTTATGTGATAGTTATACAGAAAAGTCTAGAAGTCTCTAGAGTAGCACACTGTATAACATACATTGAAGAAAGCAGAAATCTCAAACAAAAAGGAGGAGAAAAGCAAGCTATGAAAGAAGGCAAATCATGAAAGCAATTCAACTTCCAGCTTTCAGCAAGCTGAAAAGTGTACAACAGGAGGAAACTCTGAGGATAAGATCCAGCTACATGCCAAGGCAGCAGAAGGTCTGTCAACCATTTAATCCTCAAAGGACATCACAATTTAGGCGCTAAGCCCTCCTCTGGATTGCAACGCAGAAGTGATTATCATCCTCAGAGAGCATGCTGCAGAGAGCTTCTTGTGAGTCGATCTTGAAATGATCTCTCTCCTCTTACTACACAGGAAGCATTTTCCACCCCAACCTGCAGTCACCCTCTACCACACATTTCAGTGCATGCTTATAATGCAAAGGCTGGAATGCTGGACAAGGAAAACCAAATTTTCCACTCTTTTATAACTGCAGGCCCACATTGACCTGAACATGGGGTCACTGAGAGGAGGATTTGGGTTAGGAAAGTGCAATGAAAAGCAGTACTCTTCTGGTTTGCAGGAGTCCCTCTTTCACAAAGAAAGTGAGGGAAAATTCATACCATGCAACATTACAGGCATCTAACTTCATCCCACCTAAAAACAAGAAGAAAACTGTGATCGTGGTTTCAAAGCAGCCTAGCTGGGGAAAATGGAGAGCGAATGAGTGAAGCCAGCACTGGAATCCTAGAAGGCAGAAAGGCAGACTGTCCTTTGGACTGTAAATGGGTGTGTTTGTTCACATTAGCACGAGGTGCAGGTTTTACAACCTGTTCTTCCACCCTTTGCTTGGTGTAAGATACTTTTCAAATTAGGAGGGCATGCCGGGTACCTGGACCCACAGCACTACCCACACACGAGGTCTGACCATGCCCTCTCTAAAGAGAGTGACAAAAGCCCTGCTGCCATGAGCTTTTGAATTTTCACCCTCTGTTACAGAGGTGGAGCAGCTGCTGCGCTGTGCACTGTGGCTCAGCTCGGCGAAGGCTGCAAGTACCCCTGCTCAGCTGGGGATGCAGCTCACCTCCATCCCTCCAGACTTGCCTCCTCACCCCTGCCGCCACAGAGCAGGGAGGATAGCCAGGAAGCTGACAAAAACCTAACGGAATTTAATGCTGAGGACTGTGAGGATGTCATAACGTGATAACAGGAGAAATGTAGGTATCTCCAGTAATTATTTTACTTAATTTGAGGGCTTTGGCGTTCTCAAGGCAGTTTTTTAGCATCCAAAGCTCAGTAAACTGTTGTGTCAGTAGCATGATGGCAGGACTGCTAAATGAGTAAGACAACACTGGTCATTTTGTGCTCACTGTGCAAATATCCAGGCATTTTTAGCTTTTCAATGTTTTGCAGCCCAAGCAGAACTTCATCTTTCTTCCCACTGTCTTGGGTAGTTGCAAGCTCTTTGCTTCAAGTGAAATGGGCACCAGCGGTTTGAAAACACTAAATTATGCCCTTGTGGCCACAACCAGAATGAACTGTGGTTTGTTTGGTTTGTTTTTGATTTTGTTTTTGTTTTTAAAAAAGAAGATAAGGTTATGATGTAGCAGAGATTATCTCACATTACAGGAAAACAGCAGAGGAAAGTACATGCTTTCCAGTTTTGTTCTTTGTCATGGCTGGCAGAGCTTTTCAAGCATAACTTTCAGAAACCAAGGCTACTCCTGGTAGCCCTACCGATGCCTGCTCTCCACTGCTGTTTCTTGGGTAGAATCAACCAGCATGTTCCAGTTACAGAAGACCCACCAACCACTCACTCACTGGCGCTCCTGCTCTGTGGGAATAACGCACATCTCTGCCTCCAGCTATATTTCATATCAGTGATGAGGCTCTGGGACAACTGCTCCTCACTGCCCAAGGAACTAAAAGGTAAGAACTGCCCTCAGAGGAACACAATTTTCTCTGGCATTGAAGTATCTATTACAGTTTGGAGAACTTTTAGCAGAGAAACAATATTTGGTGTTTGGAGGTAGGCTGTGTAACCAAGGCAGTCTCATCTTTGCCCGGCAGATGGACAGTCTGAGACACTTGGTGTGAACTCCCCCTTTTCCCACCTCCTAACTGCCAGGTTGTCTCTGCAGGCCACTGACAGCAGGCATCCACCTTCCTTACGTCTGTGCCTGCAAACTGCAGCACAAGTGAAGGTGGCCAGCAAATATTGCAGTGGGGCTTACAGGGGTTAGAAGCTGCTGTCAGGAAAGGAAAATCGGAAACAGGAGGCAAAGACAGGAAGGGAAAAGGAGAGGAATAAATAACATAACCTGCCACATTTCTGCAAGAGGGTCTGCATTTCTCCCTGCTCTCAGTGCAGTAAGGACCGTACTGCAGGCAGAGGCAAATAAATACACCTTGGAGACCTACCATGTGCAGGACCAGGCCTTTGGGCTGAATTTCTCTCTTAGCACCAAATGGCTTTGTTGCAGGGGAAGGCAGGAAAGATGGGCTGCAATGCTTGAGGCGAGCTTTTAAGTGAGATCTTAACAAATGTCAAATGAACTTCGCTGTGGACTTCCCACTACTGAAAACATAAAGCTCTGTGCTTGACAGGAGTTTGCTCATCTGTGTAACATGAGATGCGGGTGGCTGCCAGTGGTCCTGCAGGCTCCTGTTTTGACTCTGTCAATGTTATGTTCATCATTGTCAATGAGGATGTGAAAGCTAAAAGGAAAAAGAAAGTGGCCTATGGCTTCAGAAACATCCTTTTTCTACAAACGTGAGTATGCGAAAATAAAATACTAAAGAGTATCCCCAAAAAGATTGAATTCTGCAATCTTTCTTTTTTTTTTTTTTAAATAATACTTGACAACATATTAGGAAGGGAAGATAAAGGTAAAAGCCAAGAGCATAAATGCAGAAGGACAGGGAGGGACCTTTTAGGAAGGGAAGTGCCACCAGTAAACAGTTAGTTTGCTTTCCCTGTGCTCCTGGAAATGCCAAATATATACCCTTGCCAACTCAAGGAGTCCAGACTTGATGACTAGCGGTCAGCCCTGTCATTTGGGAGGTATAGTCCCACTCAGGGAGGTATAGCCCACCATAAGGGAGTGCAGTCCACCCTTCTTGCTTGGCAGAGGAACAAGCTGTTTCTCCTCCCCCTAAAGCAGGGCTTTGAATGGAGCCACTGCTCAGGAGCCCATGGGCCAGCCCGAGTCAGTCTGGATGGGTGGTGGACACAGGGGACCTCCCGGGCACACCCCTCAGATGGACGGGGTGGCCACAGCCCTCTCGTACATGCGCTCCAAGATGCGGTAGATGCTGGCAAAGCCTGGCCGGTCGGCAGGCAGCTTGCTCCAGCAGAGGCGCATCAGGTTGTAGAGCTCCAGAGGACAATTGTCCGGGCAGGAGAGGATGTTCCCATCCCTCACATAGTAGATGACCTCCTCATGAGCCATCCCATAGTAGGGCTGCATGCCGTAAGAGAAGATCTCCCACAGCACCACCCCATAGGCCCACACATCAGACTCTGTGGTGTAGCGGTTGTAGAAAATGGACTCAGGGGGCATCCAGCGGATGGGGATGGCATCATTCTCATTGGCTTTGTAATAGTCGGCTGAATACATGTTCCTTGAGAGACCAAAATCAGCGATTTTGACCACCATGTTCTCCCCAACCAGGCAGTTCCTGGTAGCCAAATCCCGGTGGACAAACTTGCGCTCAGAGAGGTACGCCATGCCGGCAGCCACCTGCTTGGCAATGCAGAGCTGGCTGGTGCAGCACAGTGCCAGGGGGTTGGGGAGGCGGATTCGTGCATCCAGGCTACTGTGCACCAGACTGCAGAGGTTGCGGGGCGAGCGGTCACGCAGGTACTCGTTGAGATCCCCATAGGCCATGTACTCGAACAGCAGGCACATCGGTTTCCCAACAGCACATACACCTGGAAGAAGGTAGATGCACCACACAGGTCATTTGGGTAGCAAAAAGGGTTGTGCAAAACCAAAAAAATTCCAAAAATACTTACACAAAGGGGAGACTTTCAAGAATGCATGAAGGGACAGAGAGAAAGGTGAAGCATGCAAATACTATCAAGTTTGCTTGCATCCCTTTGTGTCTTTGAATCTCCCTCACCAGGGATCTAATGCTAAGCTCTGTGGGAGATGATAACTTGTCATGCAGTTGCCTGATTTGTCTGGACATCCCAGGAAAAAGATACACTTTTG